ATATAAACTATAAATTATAAAGTATTGTTCTACAAATCTATTAGTGTAACATTATAAAGTTACTCTGTAACAATATATATATTATTAAGTAGAGTTAAATACAGAGCTTCTTTATTTTATTAATATGTAATTTTTTAAAGCCTGACACAGGCTCATAATTGTGACCTATTAGATTTCTTTTTTCTTTTCACCCTCTTTCGTCTCTGTATTTGTTTTTTAGTATTAGTTTTCATTATTTCATTTTCTCCTTTAATATTAGTATTAATGTTAGTGTTTTTTTTTTTCTACTTCTCTATGAGAAGATACTATTAGTTTGGTGGTATCTTATTATAGAGCAGTGGTCTAATAGTGCCTTCTGAGATAGATATAATTCTAGTTGAAATTCATCGAGATGTGTTTAAAAGGACATGTCTGCTCAGTGCGGCTGGTCGCTTGTAAGTGCTCTTTGAAGTAACTGCAGAATGTCATGTCTAAAATTATATAGTATAATATTTTGTTTTGTGTCATTTTAACCAATCGATATCCAGTAATAAAGAATTTTGGCAAGATAGCCAAAGTGAAAAAAAAAAAAAATTAGCTCAAATCAAGCTTTATATAACCAAATAGATATATAATAAATATAATCTAACTAATTATATTTATTTATAATTATGTAAATAATAGGCCATTAGTATTTTAAATCTGATAACCTCTCAAAACTGATACAAAAGCTGTTTACCATATCTATATATCAGATTTGAAAGAGTGTACTATATATATTTTTTTATTTAATTAGAAGATTTGTACTATAAACAAATTTGAAAAATAGATATTTCTGATCAAGTTGCTATTCATGAAGCTATAGAACAGTAGTATATGACATATAATCCTAAAGTTGCAATATAGATATTGGGCATATGCCATACTTGTGCCATAGCACAAATATGTTAGGCACTTTCATGCAGGTGTTCTTAAAATGTTAGACATTTTTAAGCCAAGCATTTTGTGTTTTAGATACGTATAAGAGTGCCAGATTAATTTATACCCGTGCTTTATATGCCTAAAAGCACAAAATGCCTAATTTGTGCCTGGCATTTTGATGCCTATATTTACAAGATGCCTGGCAAGTTAATGCCAAATTTTTTGTACCATGCCTGTGCCAAGATTTTTGTTAGACACAGGCATATGCCTGGTTTGTGAAGCCCTACTTAAGAACATACAATTTAATTTCTTGGTTTTCATAACATGAAACTTTTAAACAAACCCAGCTGGCCGGCTTCTTTTTTTTTTTTTTAATTTTATGTATGTATAAAATTTTTATAAAAATAACACACCCAGCTATTTAAATTTTTTTTTAAAACTTCCAAATTTGAACCCGACCAGGTTATGAAAACTATATAATGAATTAATTTTAAACATACGATTATAAATGGTTTTGACAAAATTCACCAATAGCCACTTCGTTGACAATTTAACTATATAAAAAAGTTAAAAAATTTTATAACAAAGTTTAAACTCCAAACTTCTGTTTAAAATTTTAATAATTTAATAAAATATATTTTAAATATATTTTATAAGTATATTCCCTATTCATTAATAGTTTTTGTTTTATTAAAAAATTCCAAATATAATTTAGAATTCTAAGAAAATGTTTTTGATAATTTAATGGTTGTCTTATTATTACAATTTTATATATCAGTAAAAGATTTCGGCCCAATTACTGTAGACAAAATTTCTTCCGTAAAATTAAAAAAAATCTCATCATTTTTTCTGGTAGCGTCTAAAAGATCTTCAACATTGTCACTTCTTGAAGTAAAATTTATATGATAAATGATTTCTCGTAATTTATCGTCACGCAAAAACTCTTTTATTTTTTCTGACTTTGCTATTAACATCAGTAATGAAGAACTAATTAAAGATAAAGTTTATACTATTGAGAGTTAACAAATTCACCTACCAAGCTTTTCTAATTGCTCGGGACGTAAAGCCATATCATCATCATCCTCTTCGTCATTTAAAAGCATAAACTGATTCATATCATTATACACTCCATTCGGAAGCGCAGAAGTATTCGTATCATTATTCACGTTATCATCCACGTCGCTGTCCACGGAGTCGTCCATGTCGTCCACGGAGTCGTTCACATTGTCGTCCATGTCATCGTTCACGTCGTCTTCCACGTCGTCATAAATTTTACCTACCAAACTCTTTAGTTCACCCACATTAGAATGAGCCATGTACTCAGAGCGTTAATCAGTATCCAGCTATTAATAGCAAAAATAGTCACACTCACGTGATATATTTGGCGCATTGCAAATCCTAAAAGCAGATGTTTAACGATCAGTTTCTAAAATAGATTTGAAGTAATAATTTTTTTACAATTGTACAAAGGCACTTGATACAGAGTTGAAAGACATCCGGCATGCGTTTTTAGAAGCTAATGTTCGATTGATCGGAAATTCATGCTGGAATGAATAAGAGTCATACAGAAAGTACGTCGATGAATAAATCACCCGAGTTTTGATGCAAATTTCATTCTATATAATGTGTTTTATTTCTTGGTGTTATTTACTAGGCCGCCTGGATTGAGCTTTGCTGGCTTGTTGAATCTGGCAAGGTGAAAATAATATTGTAACATTTGTTGAGTTGCAGAGCAGCAGTATATTATCACCATTATTTTGTTTTTCTTGCGTGCGCGCTGATGCTTTTCATGCTAATGCATTTGATCAATGAAACAACGTTACTAAGGCAAAAATACCGTATTATGGAAGGTTCGTTGGTCAGATTCTTCATTTTAGAATCTTATAAATTAACATTATTATTAACATGTTTTCTGCTTATAACAGCCATTCTGGAACTAATTTTGTTCAGATAGTCCACGAAGATGTTGAAAATTTTTAAATGATGGTTTTGAACTAATAATTGTTACAGCCGATGCTAAATTTACTTATGCTGAAATTTGGACAATTTGAATATGAAATTTTTTAAATTTTTTGATGGGCAAAGATTTAGGGCTAGAGTTATAATAAAAGAATAAATGTGGATGTTATATTTTCAAATAGAGACCGCGAAGACCTGAAGTAAAATACTTCGAATATGTTGAATCTTATAAGAGATGTTGGGATGAACGAATTAGATTACATGAATTTCGAACCAGTTGACCTTAATAACGGGTTTGGGTCAAAATCCGACAAAAAAATCCCGACAATCAAAATCCCGACAATCAAAATCCCAACAGTCACAAATATTGGGGTCGTGTCTAATCACATAATATAGAGCCAATAAATTGTTTATTTTGATCGACACCGAAGAAAAAAAAAATACAAGAAACGTGTGTTTAAACCTACCATAACCCTAACCCGGCTATTTTTTTAGCCGAGCCGATTTGGAGCTAGCTGAATAAACTACGACTAAGCCGTGGTTAACTATTAATTTTTTTTTCAATTAAAAAAGTTATATATTTGCAAAGGTTTATTTATTACATAGCTATAGAGCAAATATTAAATATGTAACAAATTTTTAATGCCTAATAAATTTTGCAACATAAAGCATTTTATATTGTATAATGTAGTTTTTAAAATCATTTCTGAAATGTAATACCATGCTTCAGCCATGAACCAGTACACATAAGTGCTTGTACACCCTTTTCGAAGAGATATGCACGTCTTGCCTGAACGGTGTCATCTGCCTTTGAAAATATCTGTTCAGAAGGCACTGAAGTTGCCGCTACAACTCTCTAAAACATTTTTAAATTCAGGCTCAAATAAATATATAACTTCTATAAATATATCTTTTTTTAAAAATCTATTATCTATTAATCATTAATTTAAAACTTAAAAACCTATTACAGTATAAATCTAAGAATCTAAAAATCTATTATGAATCTATGAATCTAAGAATCTATCATAAACCTAAAAACCTAGATTTCAAAATTGAAACCTGGTTTTTAAAAACCAGATTCTAAAACCAGGTTTTAAGATTCCAAATCTAATCTCTACTTTAGGGTTAGGATCATCCTATATTAGAGTTAAAATAATTATATTGTCTTTTTGATATTTTTGATTAACCTACCCGAGGTAGGTTTAGACTGCCGTTTTTTGTATTTTTCAGGGTTTTTATTTTTCGCCGGCGATCATCAAAATTATATAGTTTGATTGGCGGTTGATCACATGATTTGCCTCCGTCCCCCAAATAACTGTATTACTATATTAAGGTAAGTATAGTAGACTAAAATGATGCACAAATTTGAAAGCGTTTTTTTGTGCTAAAATAACCAAATTGGCAAAACTGAAATGCCAGGGACGATGCTGAAATTTGGGGCCTCAATTTGAAAGTATCCAACTTAAGAAAAAGCACTCCCCAAAAAGGTTTAAATTTCATAATAAAATTTCAGCATCATCCCCGACAAGAAACTACGTAGCTACGTAGTGCTTTTTTTTTAGTTTCATGTAGTAATAAAGTAATATAATAAAGTATATAATATGTATAATGTCTATCTATATTTAGGGTATTTATCTTGGAAATAAATCTTGTAAATACAGTCCTCCTATATAGTTACTTCCTATATAATCACATCATAGTAAAAACTCCTTTTTATAATCACGCTAAAGCCCGCAACACTATTTATAAACTTATAAAAATATATACCTCTTTATAAGCACATTATCGCAATTTACATGATATGGACTGTGATTATAGAGGAGGGCGACAGGTATTATTATTGCGCTTTTCAAATTTCTGTGATCAGCAAATTTCACGTATCACACTGGGAATTTTTGGCCAATCATGTATTCGCATTTTAGATTTCGGATTCCCTGATACGTTGAAAAGCGCAATAGTAGATTATAAACATACAGCAGTAATTACTATTCCATAAGGTTATTTTCCAGATTTAAATATAGAATGCCCAATTGCAATTAAGAAATTGGCATTTGGGATATATATCTAAATGAAAACGTAACGCCCAGTGGTGTATTTCGAATTACAGCCTAGATGCGAAACACGATCCGAAATAATGCTCCCGGGCATTATTTCGTACTCATATGGACGTACGTACGTGCGTACGTACATCTTAAACATTATCTGATATATAATTCTGTATTACAGTAATTTTTTTGATTAGCTATGTATTATATACGTACATATTTTCGGGTTGACTAATTTTGCTTTCACTTTCTCGCATTTCCTATTGGTCACACTTCGATGAAAAGTGCAAAATTAAATGCCTAACTATTTCTATTCTTTATGGCAAACACAAGGGGTAAGAAATTCGAATTCATTTTATTCCATAAAAATAATTCTATAATCTCTGATCTATTAGATCTAAACCAAAATTTGATACGTAGTATCGGTATAATAAATATATAATGAAATATATATGTTAATAGTCATATAATATGCAATAGATTGCGCGATAAAGAATAATAATGTAACGGTAAACGAACTATATTGGATAGTGTTACAGGTGATACAACATTTCACCCTATATTTTTAATAAAAACCTGTTTTAACAAATCGTTGATTTATATTCTCAAACTTCCCTGCTCGCGACGAACCCAATAATCCGGTTATTGACTATGTTCTAAATTTAGTTAAATTCAGGTGATTTCCACAATGGAGGATACTGCTGTACTGTTCGTGATAATTACCTTAGTCACGAGATTAATTACAGTATCCTAAAAATCTTCCAACTGTCGGGCTTTTCATAACCGACATCTATTTTAAAGTATATTATTCTGTTATTGCGCTGAAATTTACTCATTACTCAAAGGTGAAGGAAAAGAAGGTTACAATGTCTAACGTCCATTGTCCTAATATCGATTACCTTGTGGTGATCGATTTTGAAGCTACCTGTGACGAAAATTTATCAAATCCACAAGCTGTACAAGTTACAAAGGTATTGTATTGCAAAGTACCTTTATTTTATTCTAGCTGTTATTTTTATTGTTAGCTTTATGGCTGGGTTCGGTTCTAGTGTGTGTTCTTGAGCCGATCCTGATACATCTTTGTTTTTTTTTGTTCTCCACGAGAAGTAATTACTTTTTTAATGAGATTTATCACCTGGTTTGCACCCCGTTGTTGGCTTGCTTCTTTACTAGGAAACTGCTGAAATTATTGAATTTGCTTGGGTTATTGTTGATACTAACACTTTAGAAGTGGTTTGTATTTCCCTGGTGTTTCTTTTCTTAGGGATGCCCTTGATATTTAAATTCTTTTAATCAAACCGTTTAGGTTTATCAACATTCTCAATATGTCAAACCAGAAAATACTCCGCTAACTTCTTTCTGTACTACACTTACAAACATAACTTGGGATAAACTCGAAAATGCTGGAACTTTACAAAACGCTATTTCCACCCTTGATAATTATATTCAATCTTTTATTGTATCCAACAATAAGTCGTTTTGTTTTTGCACGCATGGTGCTTGGGATCTTCGTATTCAATTGCCCCGAGAGGCCAGGGATAAGCATATTGATTTACCTCCTTATTTAGCTTATTGTCGGATGTTCGATTTGAAACAAGAATATCAAAGGTGGCAAGTTCATCATCCAGATGTAATATTAAAGTGTCAATCGTTGAATGAAATGTGTTCAGCCTTCGAATTACAAGCTGTAGGACAACCTCATTCTGGTTTAGGTGATTCCTTGACTATGGTTAATATTATTCGATATTTTTGTTCTTTCGGTCATCAAGATGTATTTGTGAATCCTATCGATACCCACGCGGATTTGAATCAATTTAAAAAAGAACAATCAAAGGTTATCCATTTGGCTGGCTTACCTTATGATGTCACTCAACCTGAATTAGAAGCTTGGTTTTCTGGTCAAGGTGTAAGACCGACTACATTATGGATGATTAAAACGCCTGATCATCAAAAACCTAGCGGCTCTGGATTTGGTATCTTTACCACGCATGAAGATGCCATGGCTTGTTTGGATATGAATGGTAGGACCTTAGGTGATAGAGCTATTGAAGTAAGTCCAAGTAGCGAAAGGGTCATTGAGGCAGCGGGGGCTATTTTGGCATCGTTTCCGGTATGTGCATTTCGTGCGGCATTAAATTTCTTTGTGTCTTTTTTCAGTTTAATGTCAATAGTGATACCCTGCAGCTAATCAGAGGACTTGTTACTTGATTCAAATCCGAATCATCTTTGTCACATTATTCACCATTTTGACCTAATGTAAAGATGACCAAAACTCGTCTACGTCCTGGTGATTGGGTCTGCACTGTTTGTCAATTCCATAATTTCGCTTCTCGGAGAACTTGTTTCAAGTGCAATGGTAACAATCCTAATCCAATGGTGCCACAAACTCCTCCTAATTTTACGTTGGGTGATTGGATGTGCCCTAACCCTCAATGTAATTTCCATAATTATGCCTCACGAACTCATTGTCTACGATGTGGGAATTATAAACCTCAGGGCATATTTGGCCCCCCTCCACAAACAAGTATACCATTTAGACCTGGTGATTGGATCTGTCCTAATCCAAATTGTTCATTTCAGAACTTTGCGTCTAGAACGATTTGTATGCGATGTGGTTCCCAAAACCATTTGGGTTATGATTCTTACGGGAATCCTGCGAACGATCAAGGTTACATTTCTAACATAGGCCATGGCCCTTCATCACCAGCTCCGGCGCCATTCCGTGCTGGTGACTGGATTTGTCCGACTTGCAACTCTCATAACTTTGCTTCTCGTTTTCAATGCATCCGTTGTGGATTGTCAAAGCCTGCCCAGCTTCAAGGCAATCCTCCCCCAACGGCAAACATGAAACCTGGCGATTGGTTGTGTCGTAATGAAATATGTGGTTATCATAACTTTGCTAAAAGGACACATTGTGCAAAATGTGGCACTCCAAATAATAGTGCAACGGTTGGGAGTGAAAATGGTTTTCAATGAATGTCATTATTCGACGGTGTTAACTAGCTTTATACATGAAATTTTTTTTATTGGGTATTGAAAAATTTTGTGGATATTATGATTTAGTCGCCTAAAATCTCGAAAAATCAACGTTTACGATTTTAAAGTGGAGTGAGTACTATTTAATCCCCATATATAGGTGGCGAAACGCTAGTTGATATAATTCAATATTTCCCCCTTCTTCCTTAAAATTTTTATATTGTTTTCATTGTATATATTCTGATCGGATATTATTTTGCTCTGCGTTTTTATGTTGTATTCTGGTTGATTCTTTTATTATATAGAAAAATTTTCTTCTATTTTCGTTGGTTGGTTTTGCATCGCGAACATTCTGTTTATCTGTTCATACATCTCGGGGTGACCTTTCAATATATAGTATTGGTCAATTTTTATATATGTAGAGATATTATGGGCACATGCTTCTAAATGAGACTGGTAAAAAAAAAAAAAAAATACAGTATGTGCAATCGAATTTGTATTGCGCTTGCTATTAAATTCCGATGAAATGGTTGTTTATGTATCCAACAATTTAGTTTTAGTCACTCTAGTATCGTATTATACTAACGCTCATATTACTTATTTCATATTTTCTTTATTCCATATGAATATGTAGGTCATCAAAAAAATTCTTATTCACAATCTCAAATTTAGAATTTCGACCTGAATTAGAAAATACACTGGACCAATATTAAGCTGCGTTTTGTTACTGTACATAAACTTATACGAATTTATTTGTTTTGATAGGATTAAAAGAATGTAATATAATATTATTTAGCATGAATTTAAGAACATGAGATTTATACTACGTATACAAATCTGATATAAAAAATATTTGTATTCCAAATATATAATAGATTAAAAAGTTTAAATTAATAATAAACCTATTTGTACAGTATATTGAATTGTATTTTTTTTATAAGTTTGGTTTAAAATTTTTAAAAATGTCAAATACAATTTGTATTTTAGAAATGATTATCACCTGTAGTACAAATTGCCAATTAGATATTAAAATTAGTGTGTAATAAAAATTTTTTATTTTTTATTTTTACTTTAATACTAAAAAGTTTAAATTTTGGTTTAATGAAATTCATTTATTTTTGTTATATATTATAAATTATATTTATAGTAAATATTATTTTTTTAATAATATTTTATTTTATTTAAAATAAAAATTATATATTTTTAAAAAAAATTAAATAAACTATACAAATTAATTATAGTAGTTTTTATAATTTAATTAGTTTAAAATTTTTAAAAATTTATAAAAACTTGTTTATAAGGCCAAGCCAAGTTAATTTTTTGGTTTTTACTATATAATATAAAATTTTAAAAGTAATCTGACAATCTGGCTTTTAATTTTATTTTCAAAAAATTTTATATAAAAAATATATATAATTTTTTTATAAATTTTTTAGAAAAACCCATATATATTTAATAGACAATTTATTTGTTATTTGCAAATTTTTATAAGTAAATTTTACTATTGAGCCAAATATAAAGCACTCCAATTTAAAACTTTTTTTATATTAAGTAAATCACTATTGAGCATCTAATAAAAGTTGTAAAGCTCATTAAGTTGCAACTAATAGTGGTATCTGAAATTAGATAACAAAGCTTACAGATCACAAATAATTTATAAGTTTCTACAACCAAAATCTAAAATATTTATGCTAGTTCTACAAATAATTTTATAAATTTGTATATAAATATGTTTGAATTTGCATATAAATATATTCATATATACAACTAAATCTATATAATCCACAAATAAAGTTTTTTATTTAGTTGTGGTCTGTAACTAAATTAAAAATAAATTTTAGACATTGATAAAAACATTAAAATTGGTTTGGTGGGTTTTTAAAAAACATTTTACTAACATATAAAATTTCTTTAAAAAAAATTATTTTTTTTAAAGAAATTTTATATATTAGCACAAAGTTTTTTAGATTTTTTAAAAACCATCAAGCCAATTTTAATATTCTTACTACTTTTAGATGTATCTTAATGAGCTTTACAACTTTTATTAAAAGCCTAAAAGTGATTTACTTAGTATAAAAAAGTTTTAAATTGAAGTGTTTCACATTTAGCTCAATAATAAATTTACAGTATTTATAAAAATTTGCAAATCTTCTTCAAATAACAAATAGATTTTCTATTAAAAAAAATTTTTTAAAGATTTGTAAAATTTGATCTGATTGAGTTATAAGAACCAAAAAATTAATTTAGCCTGGCCTAAATTTTAGATTATATACTGTATAATTAAAGCAAATATAGAAATTACAAAATATAAATTTTAGAAAACTTAATATAAGCCTATATAAAATTAATTTTGTTTCTCATATTATTAAATTTAAAAAATAATCCAACAAGTTAGCTTTTTTTAAAAAATTTTATATATAAAATTTTATAAAATTTTTAAAAAATTTTTTGAAACTTCACCTAGCTATTAAAATATATAAAAAGTTTTTTAAAAGTTTACAAAATTTGACCTGACCAGGTTATAAAAAACAATTAATTAAATTTATATAGCCTAAACAAAAGTAAAATTTAATTTAGCAAAATCTAATAATACAACTCTCCCCGATGATCACTTGTACCAAACTTACGGCAAACGAAAACAGAAACTTGTTGGAGAAAAGTAAAAGAAACAACTACAAATAACGGTTTTTACAGAGGTCAAGGTTTTCTTTTTTCTTCTGGACTCCTCTGTATATTCAGCATGCAAGTTAAAAGCGTTCCTATACAAGATAACTGGCGAGAAGGTGTTGTTGCCCTTGTATAGAAAATTTTAATAGAAGCTCTGCTTCTGCTGATGAAGTTAAAGATAGTTGGTCTAAGGAGAACAACAAGCGAGTTTTCAATACACTCACTACTAAAGTTAAAGGATATCTGCAAACCGAAACCCTACACCAAACTCCACTCTTGGACTTTTCGAAATTTTCACCAAAAAGTGGAAAAAACGGCGTACCCATATCGATTGATCGATAATAACAATTACTGCTGAAAAAAGAAAGTTACGTACAGGAGTACGTGTCTACTTTTGGATAATAGCATTGCATCAGTTACCTCAAGAGATTACGGTGTTTACACGAGATCTACAGAAGCTGAAAAAGCATAGGTCGCTTAACTTTGCTCAGGAACAAGCACTAGCACGAGAATACGTTGCAGGATACCGCATCGAACTCAGTAGGACCGCAAGAGAAATTTCAGACTTGGTCTCTACTCAAGAATAGATATTTTATATATCTCAATATAGACAATAAATAACTAGTATAGAGTTTAGACTAGATTATTTAGTAGTCTATATAATGTTTACAATCCGGCACGAGTTTAATAGTGCTATCTTTGTTTTCTTTTCTTTTATTTTGTTTTCTTTTATATGTTTTTTTTTTGGTTTTATTTGTTTAGGTGGATCGAATCTGGATGCCGAGGTATCACCCCTTTTTTTCTTTGCCCTTTGTTTTGTGTTTGTATTTCGTAGAAAAAATGATACTGATAGGCGTATAGTACCGGCCAATGATCAAAGGATTCATGCCTCTAGGAAGTTAGAGGCCCGGAGAGAAGCAAACAGCCACTAGGCGATGTTGCACCTGGGCTTTAAGCTGAGTGAGTCACTTGTTGCGGTTAAAGAAGGATTAGCTATAGTTAAATTCTTGTAATTTTACTTAGTTATCATCTTAATAAAACAGTGGCAAGACCTGCTGAAAAAAAAAAAAAAAATCTTATTAGAATATTTTTGTAAAAAAATATTCATTTTTATAACTAGAATCAATTTAATAAAATAATAAATAAGTATTCAAATAAGACTTAATCATTTCTTAACAAATATTATAATAGTATAGTTAATTCTTACTATAGTTATATTGTTTAGCAAATACCTAATATGATTATAGTAAAAAAATATAATAATAGTCATATTGTTTTTTTAGTATTTAGATGAATCTTGTCTATAACTTTATTTATTTTAATACTTTTATTATATATATTGCTATATTTTATATTATATATATCAAGTATACCAAACTTAGACCTAAATTCTATTAGTAATCTATTTTCTGGCTAAGATTATTATTTGTTGATCAGGTGTTTCCTTTTTATTATCTAATTATTTGCAATCCAAACTTATCAGAGTGATAGGTTTATAAATAACATTCACATAATATTTTTTCACTCTTCACAAGTCTTACTTTGATATACAGTATTATTTTATAACTATATTCTTTGCATTACTTATATCACTTATATCTAAGCTTTCAAATTTAGTAATCTTCTTTATAAAAGGCCTTGTAGCCTTATTTGGCTACTTCTAATTTTGGTAAACATCAGCTAATCTATTTAGGTAAATTCTACTAATAGACTTCATACTGGTTTTAAGTTAAGTCTCTGTTATTAATACTCAGTTTAGTTAGTATATTTGCTAATTCCTATTATTATATTAAGTAGATAATTTCATATATTAATATAAGCTTGCTATGTAAATTACAAGTTACTTTATAACTTTCAAATAGTAGATTTCATATTACTTTTCTTTTATAGACTAAAAGATTAGATATCTGTCTAGTAACTATGATGTTTTAATGCTCTGATGTTTTAGATTACAAGATATTAGAGTATAGACCTAGTTTAGCTTGCAGTCTGTAATACTTCCAATTGTATAATTATAGCAAAAGATTATTTCATAATAATCATAAATGACTAGTATATATTTTAAAGAATTGTGATTATTGTAAATATAACTATAGCAGAAGTTAATTGTATACTGTTTATCAAGATCTAATACAACTTTGTTAAAAAATATTTGGGTTATGCTTTTTAATCTTATTTAAAAACTATTATATCTAATTATAATTTGTCTAAAAAAATAGTCTAACAAGTATTCTAAAAATATAGAAGATAATTAGTATCTGATAACAACTAATATATTTATGATTTCAACTTCTAATTATTTAAAAGATTATACTGAATCATAAAATGTTTTA